TAGCTGATCTCTTCATGAAGAGATCATGGAAAAATTGCTGAGACTGACTACGTGACCTGCAGAGTCAGCTGATGTGATATAAAATAGTGCCTAGACTGGGAGCAAAAAAATCTCAATTTGAATTCTGGTTGACATTGTTGACAATGTGACCTTAAGGAGGTTTCTTTCCTTCTCTGAGCTTGCTTCCTTATATATGAAATACAGAAAACAATCCTTGCCCTATCTCCCTACTTGTAAATCAGATAGGGTCTCTGAACTCTGAAGCATCATACAGAGGTGCTGGAAAGGGTTAAGCCATGTCCCCAGTCCTGGAGAGGGTCTTAGTATCAATAAACTGATTCACATCCTCTTGTCTGTATAGGTTCGGGAGGCCTTGAGGAAAGCAGAGAAGGAACTGGAATCACACAGCTCATGGTATGCTCCAGAGGCCCTTCAGAAGTGGCTGCAGCTGACACACGAGGTAGAGGTGCAGTACTACAACATCAAGAAGCAAAATGCTGAAAAGCAGCTACTGGTGGCCAAAGAAGGGGTGAGACCTACCCTTCTGCCTGTTTCTTTCCTCCCTGCCCGACTCCTTTTTACCTGCCCTTCTTCCTCTTCTCTGCCACATCTTGCCCTTCCTTTTGGGCCAAGAGATATCCTGGTGGTGGGTTCTGTTTCTTTTCCTAGTGTACATCTTCTGATAATATCCTCAAGCTTCTGGAAAGGATGAAGCCAGTGAAATGCTCTGTTAGCCTCAGGCTGCCATGGAGACAGAGGTTCTCCTGGGGCTAGATAGGGGAACCCTTTTCTTCTCCATTTCCTTAATTCTTCCCTCCTCTCTCCCCTGCCTTTCTTTTCCCTTCCTTTTCTTTTCCTCAGCCTAAGTTGTACTAAGAGGAGGGGAACCCAGCCACAGGAGACTTTTCTCATTTCATCCAACCTCTAATCCCTGCTCTCTTTAAGCTGGGGGCCTCATCTTTGCAGGCTGAGAAGATAAAAAAGAAGAGAAACACACTCTTTGGTACCTTCCATGTGGCTCACAGCTCTTCCCTGGATGATGTAGATCATAAAATCCTAACAGCTAAGTAAGTAATACCTGTTATCAACTTGGGCAACATCCTCAGAATTTGAGGACGTATAAGATGTATTATAAGGCCTCTAACCCTAATTCTGTTTTCTTACTGGTGTAGTGACATCCCTGGTCTCTTGCCCCTAGCCCTGATCCAGCACCACCTTACTGTGTTTTTTATTCACACATATTTCCCCAACTTGTTCCTCTGAGAAGAAGCCTCATTTTTACTGGGGCTCCCACCCCATCCATATCTGCAGTTTTCTTTTGTTTGTCTTCAGGCAAGCACTGAGTGAGGTGACGGCAGCACTGAGGGAGCGCCTGCACCGCTGGCAGCAGATTGAGATCCTCTGTGGCTTCCAGATTGTCAATAACCCTGGCATCCACTCCCTAGTGGCTGCCCTCAACATAGACCCCAGCTGGATGGGCAGTACACGCCCCAACCCTGCCCACTTCATCATGACTGACGACGTGGATGACATGGATGAGGAGATTGTGTCACCTCTGTCCATGCAGTGTAGGTGACCTCTTTGGTAGAAATGAGGGAAGTAGTTTTTGATGTACAGTTGAGAAGTCTATGGCCTCTGCTGGACTTAGCACATGGGGTAGATAACCAGGAAAAGTTAACTTCTGACTTTAGTTAATAAAGCATAATTCACATGAGGACATTCTTTCTGGTGTCGTTTTGGTAGTTTTTCCTTGCTATGTGCTCTATCCTTCTAGGTCTATTGTGTTAAATATGTCTTCCTTCGCTCTTAGTTTTTCTGTTTGTTCTCCATTCACCCCCCTTACTATCTACCTTTATAAAAAATAATTTCCTTTAGAGATTTTTGATTCACAATGTAATTCATTTTGAGAATTTATTGCATTTATTTTCATTTAAGTTCTTTATTCTTAATTGTTAAAGTAGATGACTACTCCCTGCCTTTTTATGTGAAGCCCCATGTAGTGATCTAGCCCTAAAGCCTCCAAACTGGAAAACATTCTTGCCCAGAAGGGAGCTCCTGCACAGCATGGTTGGCTCTCTATCTGAGCTCTTAGACCTCCACATCCTCTATTCTGGGTCTTCCCTCTCTCCTCTCTCCTCTGCAATTGATGACAGCTAAGTATAGCAGAAATGAGGACATTGTGTGGAAATCCTTTAGTGAATAAGGAAACATTTTCTTAAGTGGCTCACGGTTGAATTTTTTTTTGACTGAGAGGTTATTTTAAGTAAATAGAATAGGCCTTATGGTAAAACTGTTGTCTGGGCCTGTATCCTACCAGTGCAAAGGAGATGGCAGAAATCCAGGGCTAGTTTAGAGGGTGCAGGGGCCCTTTCAGAAGGCTGGATTCCCACTCCAGACAAATTTATTTGTAAATTTTTTCAATAGTACTTTGCTCCTGGCCAAGCTTCTTTGTCTCCTTGATCTACTATCTTGTTAGGTCTTTAACCAAAGGCCTAACAGAGTTTGGATCACTGACAGGCAAAGCTGCTTATTGACCTTAAGGTTCCTATGTCCCAGGAAGGGAGGAACCTTCATTAACCCTGACCTACCCACCCCCTACTGCCAGTCTTTCCCATATCCTATTGATGGGCAGGCTGAAGCCCTTCATAAATCAGATTCTCTTCTCCTTTTGGCCTGGCTGTTGACCCTAGATGCTGCCTGGCTGATGGGGCGTAGGTTCAGTGACCGCTCTCTCTGCTCTACATCCGCCGGCTCGGATGATCAGTCCCTCTGGAAATACCCGGGTTTGAGGAGCCCCACTGGGGCTTTTGTTTTTCCAACTTTTGGGACTAAACAACACTCCTATCCCATGTGCCACTTCTCCTGCCTGCCTCACACCCTTGCCTGCTCCCTCTATCCCCTCAGCACTATCTTTACTAACTGCAAGAAGGGGTTCTGGGGTGAGAAGAATCAGCCTGCTTAGCCAAGGGCTGGAGAGAGAGCATCCATGGCGATAGAAGGCTTAGGATTTTCCCTTCAACTCAGCTACACAGATGTTCTTCCAGCTGAGCTGGGAAGAAAAGAGGCAAGGAAATGCCACCCTTCTTTTTTTTCATATTTCTCCTCTTTCCTCCCTATTTTCTCTACTTTCTTTTTCTCTCTTTTCCTTCCTACTATGGGGTTCCTCTTCCTCTTTATTCTCCCTTTCTTGCCTTGAAAACCATCGGCTGTAGAAACACTACCTCTCAACTCCATCACAAGAGAACTGAGTTTTCTCTCTGGGGGCCCTTCCAGGGCTTCTTGTAACCTGTGCCTTTTCCCATCATTAAGGAGAAAGCTGAGTATCCATTTACCAGGGTAGAGGGACAAAGATCTGCATTCTGTTTTCAGATAGAGCTAGGATTGAGCCCAAGGAGATGCTATTGCACATTTCTAGATTACCTTGTGCCCAGCATTGATCCAGGAACTGGATTATTGTTGTTTACATGCATGTTAGAGGAAATTTGGGAAATAAAAAGGGTAAATAATAGCATAAAAAAGACATCCATAGTTCTACCATAGTTGAGTACCTATTCTTTTAGTCTTTTGTCTGTGAAAAATTTTAAAATGTAGTTAAGATAATGAAAACCACTACCATTGATTGCCATGACCTGTGACAGGTACTTTGCAAACATTATCTTGAAGTTTCAGAATAATCTGCAGGGTTTTACACATTATGACCTAAATTGGAATATAAGTTGCTCAAAGTCACAGCTAGAAGTAGAAAGGTCTGGTTTTAAACTCTTGTGTTTTATATTCCAAAGCTTGCAGTTATTACATATAATTTTATATCCTTTTTCTTCCCCTAAGCAATTTAATAGGCATTTTTCCATATTCTTAAAATCTTTTTATAAGCATCATTTTTAATATCTTTATAGTTTCCCAGCAAGTGGATGTGTTACCATTTTTCCTTTGTCCCACCTTTTATATAATTTTCATATAATTTATCTAAATTTTATATATACAATTTAAACAGTTTTCATGGATTTATTAAGAATGATCCAATGAACATATTTGTGTAAGTCCTTGTCTAATATTTTATTATTTTCTAATATTAGCTTTCTGAAAAGGCTGGTTCTTAGTGCTCCCAGACGTTGCCCTAAATCCCTGTTCTACCCTGCCCTGCCTGTGTCCCCCACTAACTGCCTTGCTACCTCCCTTTATAGTGACATTGACCCTAGGTCTCCTTCCGTTGAAGTTGCCACTAAAACTATCCAGGCACCTCATCTTCAATTTCCCACCCTTTCAGGTTCCCTGGTGGGAGGTTTCTGGGAGGCAGTGCCCCTTTCTCCAGATTGGGCATCAAAGTCCCAGAGAGGTCTCCAGCAGGTGTTTCTCTATGGGTATCTGCTTGTCTGCAGCCCAAAATAGGGTGACCCTTCCTCATACTTTCTTCACTCTCCTTGCAGCCCCCAGCCTGCAGAGCAGTGTCCGGCAGCGCCTGACGGAGCTACAGCATGGCCTGGGATCTCAGAGGTTGGTAGAGGGCGAGGCTGGCCACTTCTTGACAAGCCGGGTATCTCTGCGGCGAATGCGCAGTCTTTCATCTGGACAGTCTTTCAGTTCTGAAGGCCACGGGACCAGCCCTCCATCTGTGTCTGCTTCTTCTTCCTGCTCCTCTTCCACCACCACCACCACCACCATCACCACCACCACCACCACCACCACAACCACCACTACCACCACCACCATCACCACCGTCCATGTCCACCCTGTTTATTACCACCACAGCACTTCCTTTTTCCTCCAGATGGATCCCTACCCTGACCCACCCCCTTCTGACAGCACCGCTGTGATGCCTGGGCATTCAGAGAGCTTAGGGTATCAGCTGTCTCTCTTTCTTCCTTCCCTTTCTTCTGCTTTTACCTTGGCCTCTGCCTGCCGCCTGCTGCTTGGTCACCTCTCAGGGGAGGGGAGGTGGTGGTTTGCGAGGGGGAATCTTCTTGTCCTTTCCTTTTCCAGCTCTGGGATTCCTTTTTAAGGTCAGCCTAATTTCCCACACCTTTCTCCCCTTCTTGTTTGGGGTTTGCTGACTAAAAATGAATAACAACCCTCTTTTCTTATGACCTATAGCACTTTTGCCTAAACTATCCACTTTTCGATCAGTTATCTCAGTAGGGATCCCTACTTCCTTTACTCCTTCAGCAAATACTTATTGATGTTCACTCTGTGCTAAATTCTGCTGAGCATGGGAATTCATAGACGATTCGATACAATCCTAGTCATTATGAACTTCATTCTGGTCTGGGACAAGTTCACACATAATTATAAAACAATTTGATAAGTGCTATGGGGTATTGAGGAAGGAGTGACTAACAGTGTGTACCTGGGTGGACCACTTCACAAAAGAGATGACATTTGTGCTAACATCCTGTTCAGGGAAAGGAGAAAGTGTTCTAGATACAGGAAACATGTGCAGAGGCATGGAGGTACAAGAGCATATGATATATTTGTAATTAAAATATTGGATATGTATTGGTGGGAAGGAGAAGTAGATGAGGTTAGGGTCCATAGGGCTAAGTGTCTTTATCCTTTAGGGGAGATAGAGACCTACAAAAGGGTTTCTAAAAGAAAGTGTATCAGTCATATTTGCATTTTAGAAATAAAATTTTAGTGGCTTGTGTATAAGAAGGAAGGAGACTATAGGAATCTGGGTTATTGCAGTACACCACTAGGGAAAGTAATAAGGTGTTGGAATGGAAAGGAGATAATAACTGGCTGCAAAGGTGAAAAGAAAGGGAAGAATCTAGTAAGACACATAGGTTTCTAGCTTGAGTGATGGAATGGGTGTAGTATCTTCATGGAATTAGAGTATAGAGGAGGGGACACAGGTTTGGGAATTTTGGAGAAGAAAAGTTGGGCAGACATTAAAATACTCATTTTCAGAGTAGGAAGTTAAGGTTCTGAAAGGCTAAGTAATTTTATCAGGTCCCATAGTTAATTAGGAACAGAGCACAAACTGGAATTTGGCTTTCCATTCCAGGACACTCTGTTGGATATTTTTGTCCTGCAAGGTCTCAATAAGAGAACTGAAAAAGAATTGGTACAAGGCTTTCTCTTTTAGTCTGGTCTGGCAGCTACAGGGACCTTCCCTGCTAATACCACAAGATGACAGGCTAGATCAGAGGTAGTAGCCTTGACCTCACCTAGAACAAACTTAGGGTACCTTCAGAAAGTTCTCCCCTCAAATTGGGGAGGTAGCTCAGTGGTATAGCACTTCCTTAAAATGTCCAAGACCCGCTGGGCTGATGGAGTGGCTCAAGCAGTACAGCGTCTGCTAACAAGCCTGAGGCTCTGTGTTCAAACCCCAGTACCACCAAAAAAATAAAACAAAACAAAACAAAAAAACCCCAAACCGACAAAACAAACAAACAAACAAAGGCCCTGGGTTTGACCCCTAGTATTGCAAAACAAAAAAACAAACAGGGAAAAAAAAATCCAAAAGTCTCCCCTGTCCCCCTGCCCTGGAAATACCAAGTACCTCTCATCTTTGAAATTGTGACCACAGCTCAGTCCTGGCTTATGGGCCTCAGTCTGCTGACTCTGTTGTTTTCTTTTTGTTCTGCCTCCCTTTGGATATGCATCTCTCTAGCTCTGTCCCTTGAGCTGCTGGATGGTTATTCTTGAGGGCTATTCCTTTCTCTTCAACAAAGGAACTGTCCTCACTAGGATTATTACCCAGCAGAGCTTCCCATCTTCACTGTCATCCTCATTTTCATCCAGAAGCCTAGGAAGGGAGACTACCCCTCCTAATACAGATGGAAAGAACTGAATTGGGTTGGGGAAACTAGAGGATATTGTGAATCTCATGCTTCAAGACATAAGTGGAGGGCAGTGGGGAGGAAGGGTGGGCAGCTACCTGCATCCATCTGGCTTGTTCACTACTTAATTTTCTTTTGCATCATGCACCAGAGGATCATCTCTAAAGGCAAACAGGCTCTCTAGTAAGGTTAGTAACTTGGGATGGGAGTCCAAGGCAGCTCAGCCTTTGGGGAGGGACACCCTGGATTGAGAGTCTCAAAGATTCAGGGAGGGAAGGTGAGCCTGCTTTAGTGAACCTTCTCTCTCTTATGTCTACTCAGGCTTCCTCCCAAATTCTTATCTTTCTTTGGAAGTCTCAGCTTTTAGTTGATGAGAGAGTCTTAGAAGGATAGGAATCAAGACCAAATGGGACTGGGGGCCAGAAGTAGGATTGGGAGGGTCTCAACCCTTTGACCTCTATATTAGTTACTTTTGAGTTGCTTTGACCTAATACCACAGAAAAGCAACTTAAAGGAGAAAAGGTTTATTTTGGTTCTTGGTTTCAAAGGATTCAGTCCATGGTTGCTTGGCCCCATGCACTTAGGCAGAATATCATGGCTTGTGGGAGCCTGTGGCAAATACAAGGATGTTCTTTCTTTTCTTTATGATATACAGGAAGTAGAGAGAGAGAGAGGGAGCTGGAAAGGGAGCGGGGTGGGGGAGGGGGAGAGAAGAGGGAAAGGGAGTGGGGATGGAGAGAGGGAGAGGAAGAGAGGCCAGGGCAAGATACAGCTCACAAGGACCTGACCCCAGTGACCTACTTCCTCAAACTAGGCTCTAGCTCCTAAGGCTTCTAGAATTTCCCAAAATAGCATCACCAGCTGGGGTCCAAGCATTTAATAAATGAGCCTGTCAGAGACATTTCATATTCAAACCATAACAGCCTTTTTTTCTTGGTGTTAGAAAGGTAGACTTCTAGTAACCTTACCTCCACAGCTTAGAGGGCCTCTTTTCTCAGTGTGGTACTCCCCATAACTTCCTTGGCACCTTACTCAGTTGTTTATAGGTGTGTGGAGAAGGCAGAATATGAAAAGGATAGCTGTAGGGCTTGGAGAAACAAGGACACATTTAGGTAGAAACAAGGACCAGTGTCAGAACATGAAACCAAATATGAGGTTGAGTATTTGTAAACACTAGATTAAGTGACTGAAACTGTATTTGTGGTATGGAAGCTGGAACTAGAATCATTCCTTGCTGTCTTCTGAGTCCAGGAAGGTACTGGCCCATTGAATGGCTGCTTAGTTCCCTGAGAATTAAACCTGCAATACTATGAGCCAACCCCCTGCTTTTGCCTGTTTCAGGAGCCTGGTACCCTTCCTAACTTTTGGCCCTTGGTCGTCTTCTTTTTGGGTTCTGTGGTGCTTTCCTTTCCCACTCATGAGTCTTTCTCTTTTGCTACCTGGCACAAATGTTTGGACATTTCCTTTAGCCCTCTCATCCACCTCTGCTGTGGGTTCTCAGGCCTCTGGGAAAGGAAAAGGAGGATTTAGGATTGGCAGGGGACTCCCTTTTGTCTATAGAAGCAGGAGCAGTGAGAATCTGGAATTGGTTTGTGGTCTTTCAAGGAAGAGCCAGACTCTTAAAAAAGGTCTCACATTTGTGGACTAGCCTCTGTGTGTGCATGTCTAGTGTGCAGTGGCATGTCTCCATAACTCAGCCTTGCAAAAAAAGCCTCTTGTGACTGGTCCTCATATCTGCCTTCTAGCTTGACTGGCCTCATCATCTTCATTCCAACAATACTTTTGTGGGAATGTTTTGTCAACATTTCTGATCCTCCAAATAGTCAAGGAAGATAACTGAGTTGGTATTATCTTCATTGCGTCAAAACTGAGGACCAGCAAGGTTAGATGATTTTTCTGGGATCACACAGAAGAGTTCAGAGGTCTTTTGAACCCCTGCTTTGTAGAGGCCAACATCCTGTCTTTCTATGCCTCCCTACATTCTTCTTTCCAGCAGAGCTCTGAAACAGACCCCCACCCTTCCTGCTGCCACCACAGACTCTGGTTTAGATTCTATAATACTCCTTTGTGACCTTCTATAAATCCTGTGAGAATGTAGGAAAAGTCAGCATCTTGGCCTTTGTAGTGGGTGAGGGATTGTTTGCAAGGCTGTTCTAACTTCCCCAGACTGAGTTAGGCCCACTGACTGCATGTGCCCCATTCACTGGGGCCTGGCTCAGTCTGGATGTATACTATAGTGTGTCAGGGGTAAGTGGGGGAGGAAGGCATGGGGCATGGGACTCAGCAACATGTACTTTCTGTGTTAGCTTAAGGTTGATTCCTAAGAAACTTAGCCAGCTACAGGAAGGAAAAGATCTTTGTGGATTTAAGCGTATGGTTGTACCAATTTAGGGTCTTAGTATTCAACAGGCATAGGACCCAGGCATTGCAAAGTCCTTTGTATAACCGATGATGGTATAATGACATTTGCTTTTGTTTCTTTTTTGTCTGTCTTCCCGTCACCTTTCCCTTTCTTTCTTCTTTTGGTCTTTATTGCTACCTGCATTTTGTTTTTCTTCCTTCGTGATCCTGTATTGTCCTCTCATTTCTTCTTCAATCTGTCCCCATTCCCTATTCTCCCTATTCTTGCCTCTCTTCTCTTATCCTATCCTGATGACTTACTCAACTTTCATTACTCATTCCTCCTTTCCATCTGCTTATTCATACTATTTCTTTCTCCTGCCCCTCTCATTGTCCCCATTTTCCTACCATCTTCTCACATTGTTCCTCTCTCCGCTTCACCTTTTCCCATCTCCCTATCCTGTATATGTCCTTTTCTTCCTTTCTGCCCTATGTCTTGCAGGGATTTGACCCATTCCGATTCGGAGTCCTCCCTCCACATGAGTGACCGCCAGCGTGTGGCCTCCAAGCCTCCTCAGATGGGCCATGCTGCAGATGAGGCTCTCAATGCCGTGACTTCCAATGGCAGTCATCGGCTGATTGAGGGGGTCCACCCTGGATCTCTGGTGGAGAAATTGCCTGACAGCCCTGCTCTGGCCAAGAAAGCATTACTGGCGCTGAATCATGGGCTGGAGAAGGCCCACAGCCTGATGGAGCTGAGCCCTTCAGCCCCTCTTGGTGGCTCCCCACCTTTGGATTCTTCCCATTCTCATAGTCCCAGTTCCCCTGACCCAGACACGCCATCTCCAGTTGGGGACAGCCGAGCCCTTCAGGCCAACAGAAACACACGCATTCCCCACTTAGCTGGCAAGAAGGCTGTGGCTGAGGAGGATAATGGTTCTATTGGTGAGGAGACAGACTCTAGTCCAGGCAGGAAGAAGTTTCCCCTCAAAATCTTTAAGAAACCTCTTAAAAAGTAGGCAGGATGGGGAGTGGCAGTGGTGAGACAGCTTGTCCTTCCCTGGGTCTTCTGCCTCCTCCTCCCTCCCTTCAAGATATCTGGCCCCTATAGTGGGTGCACAGAGGGGCTGTCTAAGGGGCCTGGGCACTGTACATACCTGCCCCCCTTGGGTCCTTCATCATTATTTATTAACTGACCACCATGGCCTGCCTGCCCCGCTTCCCTCCCAACTGTGGGCTGCTGCTGTCACTCCACTTCAATGCATGTCTTAGTTGCTGTTCCCTCAACCCCCACCTCCACCTTTAGGGTACAGCTTCTGTCTCACTGTCCCAGTTTTGAGGTTTGGTTTTTTGTTTCTATCTCCTACTTTCAGGCTCTTCCCTTCCCCTACCCCCAACTTCCCCCAGCAGTTCTGGGGATGACTAGAGGAGTAACTTCTGACACCTGTACCTCAGATCTGTTTGTCCCACCAACAATGGTTCTGTTTGCCTCAGACTTGAGCCAAGAGCCTAATCTTTGGGGTTTGTTCTTTGGGAGTGTGGTGGGCTGGAGAGAACCTCATCCTGGAGCTCACATGAGGGAGTAAAACCAATTCCCAGAGAACAACTCACCAGAGTTTGAAGAGTGGGTAGGCTTAGGATAGATTGGGAGAGACCTCTCTTAGTTGGAGGATGAATGGATGCCAAAGCTATAAGGCTTTCCTCTCTTGTCACTTCCACATCTGCCTTCCTCTTCCCCCTGCTCCCCCATATTGCAGGAATGTTTGTCTTTATGAGGTGATGTCCTAAAGCTCTGTAAACATCAGTACTCCTGAGGCTTAGAACAATTGGCTCCCATAATTATGTGAGCTACAGTCATGACACAGGGCTCTTGTGGAACCCTGGAGCTGTTGGGCAAGGATGTTGATATATTCAAACCAAAAGACAAAACAGTTTAAAAGTTAAAAAAAAGAAAGAAATCTCCTGAATTTCCTAAGTGCCTGCACAGCATATTCCCCTTGCCAGACCCCATTTTCATGTATTCCAGAGTCTGGGCTAGAGGTTCAAAAAGGATACATCTGGTGTGGAGAAAGGGTAGCAAAGGAAGATGGTGTAAGGCTGCTGTGTAACCACTTCCCTCCATCCTTATCTTCTAGACAACTCTTTCCCTTACCTGTTTTTGCTGTTGCTGAAAGGTATTTTCCCTCTGCCCTATTCTGCCATGCCTTTACCCTAGGACCCTATGTTGGGTATGGGGTGGGTGCACCTGGGACTGGTCTTAGGAGGGTGTTAGCCTCCAGACTGCCTTGTACCTCCTAGACACCCTCACATGGGTTTTTCTGTGTTATTTCATAAGACTCTTTGAAGTCCAATAAAGCATGTAGGAGATTTTAGCTACTGTTTGGCTTTGACTTTCATTGTGTTTCCTGTGTTCTCTGTGGCTTAACAGATGGGACAAAGAAGAGACTATTCTTCCTCTGTCAAGGGAAAATGAAACTATAGTGCCTGTGTCCCAAAACTCTCTGGGGTAGAGTTACTTAATAAAATACAAAGTGCCTAGGTAAATTTGAATTTCAGATTAAATGATAACTTTTTAATATAATTATGTTCTATGCAATATTTGGGACACAGTCTTATTCCTAAATTTGACAATGCTATTTCTGGGTCATCTTGAGTGTGTAGGTTCACCTATGACTTCCTGTGGCTTGGAATGATTTCATCTGGAGATTGAACAGCATCTAAAAGACAGTGAGGAGCCAATGAAGAGTTTTAGGAAAAGAATGCCACAGACAAGTTTTCATAAAGATCAATTTGTGTAGACCAAAGGAGAAGCTTTTACATTAGCCTTGTGTATTAGGATTCTCATCTATTCTTACCATCCACATTCAGTCACCAACTCCATTCCACTTTCACAAGGCAACAACTGTCTTGTTGCAGATCCTGTCTCTGCCACGATCTATAACCAGAGTCCTAGGCCAGAGGCCTGACTCCAGGAGTTCTAACAAGTGGTCTTGCCACTTGTACCAAAGAAAGCAAGCAGAAGTAAGTAATGGTGAACAGTCAGGAAAGGATTTACTTAATAAAACAATGCCAGGAAGAGGGAAAGTAAGCATTTCTGCCCGCTTTCTGGGAAGTGACATGAACTTTAGGTTTAAGTGGAGGAAGAATTGGGGCAGGGGGCAAGAGGTGGTATTCATAATTAAGCAGTCTTGGTCTAAGTGTGGTCTGGTTGATCATTATCTCAGTGCTGGTCCTGCAAAATGGTTGAAAGAAGTGCTTATTGCTTGAGGGGACAATCTGATACATGAAATGATTGTTCCCTTGTCATAGGTAACTGACCTCATTTGGGTGTAATCTGTCCGAGGCATCTCACTGTTGCTTGGCCATTGAGGGCTGAGGGTAGTTTCAGTCCCTTGTCATGAAGATGTTATTAAAGGAGTCATTCCTCAATCCAAGATGACTGTAGGAGAGAGACTCAGGAGGAAGAGGTTAAGGGGTCAAAAATAGAGCCAGAAGGGGACAAAGTGGAGTTAAGCCAGGGACCAGTGCCTTCCTTCAAATCCCCACCGTTAAATAATCATGCCTTTTGGAGTGGTGGTGGTTTTAAAGGCCTAATGTCAGTTTCTTCAGTACTTACTTCCTGCTGAAAGGTGTCATAGGAATCTTGGAATTAAAGACCTTAATAGGGTCAGAAAATTTTGTTTTCTATGTCCTTTTGGGGGATGAGGTAGGTTAAGTATCACTGGTTCTTAAGACAGACACTTCTTGAGTGATTTAATAGGCCAACGTGCAGAGTTATTAAGAACCTGACCCAGTGTTTTAAGACAAAGATAGATGTGAATTGAAGGCAAAGAGACCAGGCTTTATCCTGCTTTTAGTTAACTTGTAGACCCAAGTAAGGAGCCAGTGCTTTTTAGCAAAAGCAGTTTCTGAGTAGTTGTTATACATCCACCGAGAACTCTAAAAGCAAATGGGTGATGGTCTTGCAGGGCTCCAGTTTCTAGAAGTATAAAATCTAAAACGCCATTGACTTAGCTTGGCTTTCCTCCATCTCTGGAGTGCTTGGGTTCTGTCCAACCCAGGGTCCCTAGGTTCCCAGGTAACCTAGCTGGCAGGTCCTAGGCTAGAGCCCACATTTCATGGGACATGTGGGGCTATCATAATATAAGAACCAAAACAAGAAAAAGTGTTCTGGATGGCTGGATTTTAACTGTAATTTCAAAAATACTTGCACTGCATGACTGTAGGTCAGTCGCAGTGCGGGGTCTGGCAGCTCCAGTGCGGGGTACTCGCAGGGCGGGGTCTGGCAGCTGCGCGGCCTGCCAAAGCCCTCAGGATTCGCCTTTGCCCATACCCAACATGGCGGCGGGAGAACAGCATTCCCGCCAGCCCGCCCACACCCAATGTGGTCGGAGGAGAGACAATTTCCTGGGCCTTGCCCATACTCAATATGGCGGCTACAGGGCCTCGCTGACTTTCCGCTTCTCACTTTCTGCCCGTTCTGCTCCGGACGTTAGTAGCGTCGAGTAACGTCATTTCAGATCCGTCGCGCCGCTTTGTGCGTCAAGGGTGGCGGGAGCGGGAAGGAGTTCGGATTGCCGCGCTTCTGCCCTGGTGGAGAAAGTGCGGTCTGCCCTTCAACTCTGGTCCCAGCGTCCGAGAAGCCCCTTAGAGACCAACCCATCACACTCTTGCCCCCACCTGGATCTCGCCAACCCTCGGAGTTGCAGCCGAGTCTTGAATCCCTCAACGCCTCAGCCACTCACGGCGATGCATGTGATCAAGCGAGGTGAGGGCGTCCGAGGAGGGCTGCGGGTTGGTGAGGAGGGTGAGGGGACTTGGGCCTCTGCGGCTCGAGCCGTGACTCACGGCCGCGGTCCCCACAGCATTTCCGCCCTTCCCGCCGCGCCTTCCCGCGCTGTCAGCCAGCCCGGCCTCTGTCGTAGTCGCCCACGGTCCTCCTCTAGGCCTTCAGTACGCGTTCCCTCGGCCTTGCCATTTTGCTGCCGTTCCACAGAATCACTCCTACCCTGTGTCCAGGCACTCCGCGATTCCTCACCCGAGCCTCTGAGAGAGCGATTATAAACTCAGCCTGGTGACCTGTCTCGGCACCAGAAGAAGCGAGGAAAGAAGGGACTCTGTACCCTACAAGGGCATCTGTCATTTTCCTGGTCTCTTGTGGTGTAGAGGTATGGGGTGACAAAACCATCCCAGACACAGGCAACACGCTGGAACTTGCCTTTGAAAGACACTGTGTTGCCCTGTGCCCCAAGAGTAGTCCCAGAAGAGAGTTTGTGACAGAAGCTGCCCTTCTCTCTCACGGGAAGAGATGCAGAATCAAAGAGAGGTGACCAAGGCCTTTGACAGGATAGGGGCTGGAAAGAGCCATGGACCTGTATTCTTACTGAATAGTTATTTCCTATTGGACTTTCTATGTCCCTTCTTTTGCTAGCAGTTTATAAGAATGGGTCAGAAAAAAACAAGAGGAACACATACTTATAACCCAGAATCATATGACACAGGCAGGAACAAATTTTGAGTTGCAGCAACTTCTGTAAAAACAAATTTTTTTCAAAGTTGTAATCATGTGGTAAATACATGACTGAATGTTTTTGTTTTGTCTACTAGGTTGTGAGCATTTCAAAGATTGGAACCTGACATGAATACATACTCAAAGAATGAATAAGAGTAATTATATTAAAATGTAGGATATGATGATTGTTGTAGGGAGTCAGGTAGTTGATTTGGTTATGTCCATGTTGGTTTAATTACAGCCAAAAAATGGTGATCTTTCTTCCTGTTTTTAACATCTTGAGAACATTTTCTGAATTCTTTGTCTTCCATTTTAGCTGATGAGACCAAAATATATATCTCACTTTTATTAGTATATTCCAGAAAGTGAGAAATGAGCACCAGGTTTTTAAACCTTCAGAAAGAGATACTTGAGGATGGTCCTATAAATCAGTAACAAAGATAAATAGAAAATTTATGGATTTGTATTACTGGAGTGGGTAACCCCTGTGTTGAATTTTTAACCATTTGAGTCTAACTTTGAAATAACTGTAGCTTAAAAAGTAATATCTACAATAAGCTCTAAAAGGCTTATTGATTTTGTTTCTTATTCCTTCAGAGAATGTAATTTGCTCCAGATGGCTCTTGCTCTAGATTCTGCCATTGTAGCATACAGCAAAGCTTGTTAATATTTAAAACATACTTAAGATTTGTTTCTTTATTTTTTGTTTTTAAATGTGCATAGTTTTTTGTTGTTGTTGTTGGTCCCTCTTATATTGGTATACCAGAGAAGCAGCAGAATTACTACTGATTTTTTTGTTGTTGTTGACTCAGCAGAGCAACCAGTAGTTGATTTACTGAGTGCTTTGATATTGTGCTGAACACTGTGAGGGAAATAATAGAGAGAAGGCAGCTCCATTTTCAAAGAACTTAAAGTTAAGGATTTAGGAATAATTCATAGGAAAATTGTTGGATAACAGACAGGAATAACTGAGCCATTGCAATGATTACAAAGTGGTTGGTTAATTGAATTATAAACAATGCTTTGGAATTTAGTATAGTGTTTTCAAAACTTTGGATTGTAACCCACAGTAAATAAATAGATTTTACATATGTATAGTATATGTATAAATAAAACTGAAACAGCCAGGCGCCAGTGGCTCATGCCTATACTAGCTACTCAGGAGGCAGAGATCAGGAGGATCAAAGTTCAAAGCCACAGTGGGTAAATAGTTTGGGAGACTCTATCTCAAAAAAAACCATCACAAAAAATAGCTGGTGGAGTGACTTAAGGTGTAGGCCTTGAGTTCAAATACCAGTACCGCAAAAAAAAAAAAAAAAAAATTTATAAACTCGTATCTTTTCATCCATTTGCACTCTGATAGTGCTCTTCTGCTCTAGATTCTTTCCTTATGCCTATTTTCCTCCCTCTATCCCATCCTTCTTAGTTTCACTTACAGGCCCACAATATTATTTTACAACTCTTTCCAATGAATGATGTAGTGGACACTGGGATTACAGTGGTGAGTAGGCAGACGTGGTTCCTGCTTTCGAAAGTGTTACAATCAATTGAGAAAGACAGATATGTAAAAAAGTAATAAAATATAAATATAAGTAAAGTCCAGCCTGTAGTGGCCCGTTGATTCAGAAAGCATCTATTCAGCACCTTTGTGGTATTTGAGATTCATTTGGATAAAGCAAGCTAACCCTGTCAACCCCAACCTGGGATTGAACCCAAGGCATCTAGGGAATCACTCTACCACTGAGTTACATCTTCACCTAAATCCCTTTTCTCATGGAGTTTACATCCTGGTGGGAGTGGTAATTTCAGATAGTGATTAATAAGTTAATGGTAGTAAAACAGTAATGTAATAAAGATAAATGAAAA